GGACGCAAGGAATCAATTTAACCGAAGTGAGATGCAGCTATGGTTCATGATCTGTAGGAGTTATACAAACTCAGAAATCATAGTTGCAATGCCTTTTATTCCCAAAGTAGAATTTAAACTTTTTTCCATTTTACAGGGTTTGATTGTAACAATCAAAGAGGTCAAATTGTGTGTTTCTGATACAACCGTACAAGGGCAATGGTATCATTCTTGATTCAGCAGCTCTAATAATACGACACTTATTAGTTGTCATGGTTTGCACTCAGTGGTACTCGTTTTCACCATATGACTCAAAGACTAAGGCTTTACTGTATATGCTATTTCTCTGAGCACAATGAGTCAAGAATTTTCCTCTTTACTCTGACCCATTTAAAGAATGAAGTGTGTTATCTAAGCCTTAACACTCATCCAGTCAGAACGCTCTTGTCTTAAGGTCAATCTTTTAAAAAAAAAACATTCTTCTGTTTATTGAGCAAAGGCTGTCCTTGGTCAAACCTTTCAGGCGGAGATAAGTGCTAACAGAACTGAGGTAGGGGGAAATGTGGAGATTTCTATTGACTGACTAAAATTGGACGGCCTCAAACAAAGTTTCATGCCAACGTTTTTCGAGGCAGAGTTCCAGGGCTATGCAGCGTGGATTTTCAGCCGTGCCGTGGATAAAGCTTTTAAATGCTATTGACTCTTTCTAGGCTCTCACCAAGGTGTTCTGAAATATTTAAATGATCACTGGGAGTTTCTCCCCGTATGTGGCCGGGGATAAAAGGATGGAGTGAGAGGAGAGAAGTTTTTTATGTCAGCCTCTAAAAATCCCTGAATTAATAGGCACGAGATAATTAGAGAATAATGTGCAATAACATCGTCACCGAGCTCTCAAGTATTGGGTGGTTCAGGCGCTGCATGCTGGTAAGAAGTAATTCATGTGTCCAGTAACGCTAAAAAGCGCTAATTCAGGAATACATTAGGAGTTTTACTTTTAATGCAATCTTAGTTACTTTCAAAGGAGAATTGTAAGATGGGAGCATCCGCCATCTGGGGCTAGACTCACCACTGAGGTCAGAGAGGTCATGGTCTCTGCTTGGGGGAATTGGTGGTTTTTATTAACCTTACATTTTGTAATTACATATAAAATACAAACGGTGGAACTAAATACCAATGCCACCAATATAAATATGAATGTGCCTATGCAATATTACCATATCAACAATAGATCACATTACTTCATATGCACAAGGAATAATTTATCACAAATACTGAACCCCCATATCTATAGTTTTTTCATTACTACCTAGAATTTTTACTTTTTAAAAAAAAAATTAAAACGTATTAGTGCTGTTTCTGCGAAAAATTGCAAAAGATGACTCACTGTTTACTAACTGTCTATCACCAAACAGCTAGCAGTCAAAGTTAGCGAGTAGCTTGAGCATTTAAATGCTCAATAACCTAAACATAGTTACTACAAATAGTTTGCTTATACCTCCAAAGGGATAATATGTCTGTGTTGTGTTTACAGCTTGCTTTGCCGCCCCAAGTGACCAATACGTTTAAAACAAATTAGCGGAAAAAACCTGGTTGCGTCATATTGTCCAAATGTTATTCTTTTCAACCTATGCCAAAATATCTGACATATTTCTTCATTGCAATATGGCAGTTATTCATGTAAGTAAAAAAACAACGAGGCATTTTTTTTATTTTCAGTGAAATCACAATGTTGGATTTTAAATATATTGCTCTCAAAAAGTAAACTTAAAAACCAAATATCCTTTCTGTAGATATAAAAATGTACTTTCCCAAAAGTCAACTTGTTGTGAAACTCAGCAAAGACAGCTCATCATGTTTCCCATAGTTACGAAGGTCAAAGCTCCATGTGGTCCAACACAGCTGTCGTTTAAATGAGGCCTGGTGACAGTTGGTGGAGATTTCACCACTGAAGCTGGTGTCTTTTCTTCTTTCCCCACCAGTAAGTAGTCACCATTCCCTTGCTGCTATCTTTCATCTCTTCTCCTTTTCTTCTCCATATTCCTCTCTCTCTCTCTGTCTCTCACTCTCTTACTGTTTCTCTCTCTCTGTGGGTGTGTGTCCCTTTAGGGTGTCTGCTGCGGTTGAGATAAGAAGCGAGTGTAGGACACAGGGGGATGGTGTTCACAGAGGCTAGGTGATCTTATCTCCTCTCCCTCCCTCCTGCCTCTCTTACCGAGCATCCCTCGCTCTTCTTCTTTTTCCTCTCCGCTGTTTTCCTCCCCCGTCTTTCTTTTTGCTCCCTTGCCCTTCTTTCTCTCTTCCCCCATCTCTCTTCTCTCCTCCCGTCTCACACACACATTCTCTTAGATCCCCTCTGCGCTGCTGTTGATTTGAATTTGAAGTGATGGGAAACTAAATTGGCAGCATTGACAGCAGAAACAAACAGCTTATCTCTCTCTCCTGGGCCAATATGGGTCTTAGTCAGATACCAGAGCCGCTGCCAGCATCTGACTTGTGACAATGATGATAAATTGAACGTTTGTTGACTGTCACTTTTCATGTGTGTGTGAGTATGTGTTTTTACGTGTGCATGTGTGATTGCCCATACACGTGTGTGTATACACTAAGAGGTGGAGGATAAATAAATAGAAGTACAACACTCAAGCAGAACTTTGAGATACTTTACTTTTTGTTTTTAGTTTTATACTACCTTTTACTTAAACTATACTTTGACGTATTTGCAAACTATAGTTTCTCGGAGTATGGAGTGTGATGCATTGCTATATATTGCCATGGGATCCATAGTAAGATGGTTTATTTAAAATAAAAATGAAACTGGGTAAAATGAATATGTGTAAAGTTAGTAGAAAACTTGATCCATGAGAAAATAGAGAGATGTGTAACAAATCATTTGTACTGTGACTTGCTTCTCGGGGCCTGTACCAATAAGACCAACCAATCGTTTTTATTTGTTGCATTTCAAAGGCAGTTCAAAACCATAGTTTTTCCTCGTCTCTTGATTGGCGGATCGCAAACCAACTTTAAAGGCACAATGCCACCTATTGTATTGGCATGTAGATGCTGTGCTTTTCAAGTCAGTTCAAACAATTAGGCTTTGTATTGCCAATATATGTATCAGTAATGATTTCAACATGGGGATAATAGATTATAATATAATTGTCCCATCAATATATATTGTGCTACATCAGAATCCCTGGATTAACCTTTCCCACAGGAAATAAATTGTTAGAATAATGTCAATATAAACTACTTTAACATTAAATGCTGGTAGTGCATTAGGAGTAATCAAATATATTATAACATTAACAGAAATGGTTTTACATTGTGACATTGTATTGCCAGATCTGAATACTTCCTATAATACTGAATATTGGATACTATGGGTGTCCGCGTTCCAAACATGCGAGATTGTGAGGCGTGTGAATCAGAGGCATGCGCGTGTTTCCAGAGGGACCGCGCCGACATGTAGCGTTAACACGAGAGGCCCGGAGAGGACGAGGAGGAAGCCAAGCTGTCAGCGGCCAGCTCCCACTCCGCCTAATGAGAGAGAGGCCCGTTAATTAAAAACACCAACAGGCGGAGCTCCCCAGTGTCCCGGCATCAGGACGACCCGGGGTTAAAGACGCGTAGCCGAGAGGATGGGAGCCATGCTGCGTCTCCATACACTGCGTGGTGCTGCCTTCAACAATAAATAGCCCCCAGTATGCAAAAAGAACAAAGCACACACTGCGTTTGTGTTTCTTTGGGGGGGAGGGTTTCTGTGATAATCATCTGCTCAGCCCTTGATGTTCTCAGACCAACTGTGATTCGTTTGTTGTATGGCAGCAGGGAACAGTTTGTCAACGTCTGCATGATGACTTCTGTGATCCACCAAATGGAAAAAGAAAAAAAAGTTGACCCAAAAGCCATTGCGTCAATATGTTTTTTGTTCAGCTGTAATATTTATGTCGACCTCGTTGTTCACTTAAAGCACCCTTCAAATGCTCCGTATGTCTGCATATAAAATCACTGGAGGATTTTTTTTCTTTCACTAAATGTAACTTAATTCAATTTAAATTATTTTTTTGGCTATGAACAGCTGCATGCACAGCGAATATTTGCCTCAAATTGAATTGTGTCACTGCAGCCTATTGTGCAATTGTCTTCGTAAGTGTTTTATTAAACTGTCAAACACATGAATCATTAGCCTTGATCTGCAGATTGACAGTTTGTCAGCTCTCCGACAGTGGCGCGCGCCTCGCTGTCAACAGGGGGTGGCGAGGGAACGGCTTACACGTTCCCCACGGTTTCTTCTTCTTCCTTGCCTCCTGCGTCTCCATCTTCCTTCCACCCCCACATGTCAGCCCAGGTGCTAACAAAACTGAGGATTGTGGGTAGTTTTGGAACACATGGAGCAGAGAGATGGAGAAATGAAGGGTGGATGGGGAGTAGAGGGGGGTGAGAGAGAGAAGCTGTCAGGGAAATGTCTATCCCTGTCACAGCAGCCAGAAGAGTGCGATGGACAAATGGATAACTGCTATTTCAGACTGGCAGGGAAGAAGTTCACTTTGATTTGATGTGTTTTGTGGGCAGAATGGCGCTCATGCAACAGAATCGTCGCATCTCCGAAGCCGCACACTTTAATGTCTTTTTTGTTTTTTTGTTGAATGGGCATGGATTGTGTTTCTGTACAGAGGATGGTTCCGTTTGTTCAGCCGCTGAAAATACAGTACACTGTGCACAAACATGCGCAGGACACACACAAACTCAAGCGAATTCCCAGTGCGGCCATGTAGACAGAGTTTCAGTGCAATGGCTGCAGGCGTGTGTGTGTGTGTGTGTGTGTGTGTGTGTGTGTGTGTGTGTGTGTGTGTGTGTGTGTGTGTGTGTGTGTGTGTGTGTGTGTGTGTGTGTGTGTGTGTGTGTGTGTGTGTTGTTTTTGGCTATTCGCTGATGATTGGTGCAGCCCCCTCCCCTGTCTACCTCTCCTTCTCTGTCCCCACTTCACATAACATAATCATCTCTCTCTTGCTGTATTTCAGGCTGTGCCTTCCTCACCTACTGTGCCAGAGAGTCGGCCCTGAAAGCCCAGAATGCATTGCACGAGCAGAAGACCCTGCCTGGGGTAAGTCACACACAAAGAACGCCATGTCGACCCAGAAGCAAAAACAATTTTTAAACTAAACACATCTTAAATTCCCTCCCGCACACACAAACACAGATGCTCATTTTTAACATATAATGCCGTATACTCATTTGGAATCAAAGGGGACTGACTGTCTTCGCCATGCTTGTCATGTTCTGTTTATCACTGGCTGTGCACCAGACATGAGCACAGCCCTCCTTTCTCTTAAATATCTGTCCTCTCCGTCAGCCGCTACCCCCCCCCCCCCCCCCTTCCTTTCCCTGCCTCCCGCTCTCTTCACTTTGACAGTCACACACACAAACCCATAGGGAGAAACCACACACAGCATCGCATCATAGGCATACTATTTATAGTCCTTCCTCCAGTTTGTATAAATGAGTGTGTGCCTCTCCGTGTGTGCGTGCGCATGCATCCGCGTGTGTGGGCAAGTGTGTGAGAGATGGATGGAGATGGATGAAAAGCGGGTGAGCGGGTGGATGTAGGCTATTTTGTGCATTTATGTGCACGCTCGGCAACATGAGTGTGAATCATGGATGTAGCCTACATCACGACAGCATATCTTCACAACAGATGTTCACATGCTGTGGATGTTACCACTCACATGTACAATGCAGCGGGAACCAACGCATGTGTCGTTTTGCTGCCCAAATCATATCACTGTGTGCTAGTATGAGGGATTTTTGCCATTGTTGTAAAATAATAGACATCTAATTGTTTATGTGTGTGTGAGTCTCTGTATGTGTGGATGAGGGATTATATGCATTGTGAGCATTTTCTTTCATACAAACATGATCTAATAATTACATATGTGTGAGCGTGTGCATGCGTGTGTCTAATACATTTCATTTAGTATAAAAGTATGCATTTGCATCCACATTCCTGTGTGCGTACGCGCTCGTTGGCGTGCACGCCCGCCTGCGCATGTGTGTGTATGTGTGCGTCTTAGGACGTTTTGATGCGTCTCTGTCAGGCCTGGCTCGGTTTGCTCTGTTCGTTTTTAATGACGCCTCCAGGGAAGCTGACAGTCGCCGTGTTGAGCGCACAGCCTTTGATGTGAGTGATTATGACATCACAGACGTGCAGCCGAGAAGAGCGGAGGAGTGGGGATCCGTGCTCTCAGTTTTTTCGTTCACTTCCCAGTGGCATATTATTCAGAAAGAAAGAGGGAGGGAGAGACAGAGGCACGCGGAGTGAGAGGAGGAGAGATTAAATATTTGGCCAAAACCAGAATGCGATTTTGTGTTCACTCAAAATGTGCTGCCGATTGATGTTTTTGCCTTTGTTGCTATTGTTTGACACAGACATAGAGATATGGGCAGAAAAACAATCTTCTTTTAAGCATTCAGTCTTTACATCTTTAAGGCAAAGAGACTGCTTTGCTTCACACACTACATAGAAATGCATCAACAACGTTCAATCAGTCACTTGCGATCAACATTGCTTTAGAAGGAAATGCTAATTGACTTTGCCTTTGCCAGGGGAGGACAGTCTCAGGTTTGCATTTGATCGATGCTGAGCGTTAAGTAAACAAAGGTAATGCCACATGACAGACCTAGATGCTCAACAAACCCTGAAGCAGAGCGTTCAGAGGCAGAACAGGAGACTGTCTTTTGTTGCTGGTGGAAGTAAAGCCAGCAAAACAGAATAGATGAGTTCATTAGAAACAGAGCGTGGACTTGACCCTGGGAAAGGCAGTGGGACATTTTATACTGTAGCAGACTACTTTCTCTCCCTCCTTCCATCCTCTATCAACCCCCCACTCACAGGCCAACACAACCAAACCCTGCAAATGAAATCTCCTTTTTCCCTGAAAGCCTCTTTCCCCTTCACTTCTAGCCCTGACATGCTTTTTATCGTTGAAGTTGCTCCCCAACCCTTACATTTAAAAAGTGTTCTGCCCTCTTTCTTCTTAGCTGCCAGGTGAGCCGAGAGAAGAGGGGATTTGGCTTCCTAGAGGAAATGCCCTGTAAGCATGGCTGTAGGCTGTTGGTGTGGCTCAGACAAAGTACTAAGAGCTGGTGTGTGTGTGTGTGTGTGTGTGTGTGTGTGTGTGTGTGTGTGTGTGTGTGTGTGTGTGTGTGTGTGTGTGTGTGTGTGTGTGTGTGTGTGTGTGTGTGTGTGGTGTGTGTGTGTGTGTGTGTGTGTGTGTGTGTGTGTGTGTGTGTGGGTGTGTGTGTGTGTGTGTGTGTGTGTGTGTGTGTGTGAGTGAGTGAGCAGGTGCAGCATCAGGAGAGACTTTGGGTAAACAAGCAAAAAATATTGACGTTAAACTGACACTGACATTGAACTATTCGTGAAAGCTGAATAATTGTTTTCACAGCCCTCATTCCATTATAGTGCTACAAACTACAGGTACACAGGATTATGCTGATGGAGAAGAAGTTTCCGCTAACGTAATTAAATCAACTCCACTGACACAGAAACACTGCAATTGTTTGAGGACATTGGGGAGGTACAATTAAATTATAAAAAAACACAGCTAATTCCCTAGAACCATGGATTGATTGTTGTAAAAGACCACCCAAGCACAAGTCAAGAAGCCCAGGGGAGCAGGGAGCCACAAAGCCGGTGCATATATATATATATATATATATATATATATATATATATATATATATATATATATATTATATACTATCCAAAAGTAAAAAAAAGAGTTCAGTAAAAAAGGTATGGATGTCCCAAACACAACACTTTTGCCCCTATCCCAATCAGTCTTTTAATAGTGAATATCTGCATATCAGATTTTTTTATTATATTTGTGTTTATTTCTCCAGCATAATAAAGCTTCACATATTTTTTTAGAAATTGTGAGCCTTCATTGAAATGATAACAAATGCAATGACCTCTACCTCGGGTTTACTTTGATGTAACTGTAATATTTAAAATATCAAGTAAAACCTTTTTATAACTCCAGCATGAAAAACATGGAGCTACAGTGTCAACCAAATGCAGTATCTTAGAGTTATTGTAAACCTATGACGCCATACAATATAAATCATTTATCTATTCCTTGAAATACACACAATTGTGAAAAACACAGCCACTACAGAGACAGTTCTGACCTGTTTAAAGTGTGGTAGTTGTAGTTGAACTACCCAGCTATTGAGCAAATAAATGGAGAAGAGTTTTTTTTTGGAGAGAGTGGCTTGGGTCAGGCCTAAAATGGGGCGCGTCCCAAACGCCCGGCTCTGGCTGACATATTTGTAATCCCGCGCTCCAGTTTCAGACTCGTACTACAGCAAGAGGCATTAAAAAAGCCACTATTGATTCTGGCAAAAGTCCTCTCGAGTGGGAGGGTGTGTTTCTGTGCGTGCACGTGTGTGTGATTGTGTGCGTATGTGTGGGTCACAGGGTGGAGTTGCAGAGCTCCAGCTAGTGCAATGTGTGTAGAAACCACATGATACAAATACCCACCAGCAAATCCCCCCTCACACATAAATACTCTCACACGCATGAAAAGAAAAAAGAAAAGGAAAACAGATCTGGCATCCACTCAAACACACTGGGAGATTTACAGTAGGTAGTGCCTCAGCATATGCCCCCACACGGTGCAAAAAAAGAGCATGCCCTCCTGGTTTATAGCAACGTGTTCAAACTTAAAATAATGCATAGAAGTACACACAAGCATCCACAGGTACAAAACACACCACTGATACTCACAACACATGCACCCACGCTCCAAACCCCTCTCTTGTAACAGCGATACAACACTCCTCGTGAACACATCCATTCAACAACATGATACTCTGATGCTCACTGAAAGAAAGGGAGAGAGAGAGAGGGGAGAGAAATAGGGAGAAAGTAAAATAGGGAACAGGAGAGGGAGAGAGAAATACGGCGTAGATTGACTCGCACTGTAATAGTGAGCCAGATGAGAAAATATAGAACACTGTGAATCAATGCGTCATTTCAAGAGCGCTTCCACACACACACACACACACACACACACACACACACACACACACACACACACACACACACACATACACATCTATAATGGAGCACATATACACACAGAGTTTTCAGCCCGGGGGCAAACAAACAACAGAAAAGACGGAAAGCAAATGAATAGCAGGAGGGAGAGAAGAGGAAGGGGTTGATGAAGGCCGGGTGGAGAGAGTGGGTGGATGGAGGGAGTGGGAGGAGAGGTATAGACGAGGTGCCTCCATACCGACTGATTTGTGTCTGTTTCTTTTTCACCCCTCCCTCCGTCTTTCAGTTGAGATAATGCCAGGCCAAGAAATCTATGGCATTGATTGGCTGCTGCGACCCAGTTTCATGGCAGCTTTTTCTCTATAAGTCGCCCTCACTTGGTCAATAACTGCCAGGCTCCACAGGTGAAGTGGGTGAAGGGGTGTTTGGGAAAGGGCGGGGTCGGTGGTCCTCCGTGATGATTAGTTCCCCCAAAGCATGCATGAGTACAGTAGCTCACGCCTTCTTGTAGATTTAGATTAGTGGTGCAGTGGGCAGGAGGAATAGCTGCACGTCCACATGAATAATGCTGCGGGCCTGGAGCTAAAACACCACCTCCTTCTCCCCAAGCCATCACCTCATCAACTATAGTAATCACCCTTATCCGAAAGAAAACCGGTCGCCACATAATGCGCACCAATTATTGGATCTGCTGTCATTGACAGAATCATCCAGTAATGCACAAGTAAATGTTAGCTCAAAAAGACACACAGCATCAATACGGATATTTGCTTCACAAAATAATAGATTTCTGTAAACTCATAGACCTAATGAGCAACATATTCCAGTCTGACTATCAATGCAGAGAAAAAGCAGCAGGCACTGGCAGTAGTCAGTGTAACAAAAGGCTAAACAGTATCCAGTGCCCGCCCAAAGCAAAGCTTTTAAGTGAGGCAGTGTGCAGCCTGAATCTGGCAGGTCATGAGCCTGCAATACAAATTCAAATGAGTCTCTCCAACAGACAGTACAAAGGCAAAAAGACTTCCTGAAAGTATTCTTTGTCA